TGTTACCCAGGCTGGAGTGCAATGGCGCGATCTTGGCTCACTGCATCCTCCGCCTCCCGGGTTCAGGCAATTCTCCTGCCCTAGCCTCCTGAGTCGCTGGGAATACAGGCACGCGCCACCATGCCCAGCTAATTTTTTGTATTTTTAGTAGAGACAGGGTTTCACCATGTTGACCAGGATGGTCTCGATCTCTTGACCTCATGATCCACCCGCCTCGGCCTCCCACAGTGCTGGGATTACAGGCTTGAGCCACCGCGCCCGGCCTATAAATTTTCATTTTATAGGCAAATTTCTAGGAGGGATTATTGGATTCTATGGTAAGTATGGGTTTAACTTTATAAGAAAGCTAGAGGGGCCGTACCATTTTGTACTCCCACCAGCAGTATATGAGAATGGCAGTTATTCTGCCTTCTCACCAACAATTGGTATTGTCAGGGATTTTTTTCAACTTTAATAGGTATATAGACATTCCTTACTGTGGTTTTAATTTGCAATTCCCTACTGACAAATGATGTTGAGTTTATTTTCAAATATTTATTTGCCGTCCATATATCTTCTCTGGAGAGGTGCCTGTTAAAAAAATTTGCCTATTAAAAAAATTGTTTATTTTCTTATTTCTGAGTTTTGAGAGTTTTTCTTACGAAGAACTTCTAGGCCAGGCACAGAGGCTGATGCCTGTAGTCTTAGTGCTTTGGGATGGTGAGCAGGAGGATCACTTGAGGTTAGAAGTTTGAGACCAGCCTGAGCAACATAGCAAGATCCTGTCTGTACCTGTCTCTACCACAAAATAAAATAAAAATTAGAAAACATATTAAAAAAATAAATTGTGTATTCAAGCCCTTTGTTAGAAATGTGATTTGCGGCTGGGCGCAGTGGCTCACACCTGTAATCCAGCACTTTGGGAGGCCAAGGTTGAAGTGGCTCACACTTGTAATCCCAGCACTTTGGGAGGCCGAGTTTGGGAGGGATCACCTGAGGTCAGGAGTTCAAGACCAGCCTGGCCAACATGGTGAAACTCCATCTCTACTAAAAATACAAAAATTAGCCAGGCAGGGTGGTGGACACCTGTAATCCCAGCCACTGGGGAGGCTGAGGCAGAAGGCACTTGAACCTGGGAGGCGGAGGTTGCAGTGAGCCAAGATCATGCCACTGCACTCCAGCCTGGGTGACAGAGCAAGAGTCTGTCTCAAAAAATATAAATAAATAAATAAATAAAATGGTTCTGAATGGGCCAGGCGTGGTGGGTCATGCCTGTAATCCCAGCACTGTGGAGGCGAAGGTGGGCAGATCACCTGAGGTCAGTAGGTTTAAGACCAGCCTGGCCAAATTGGTGAAACTCCATCGCTACTAAAAATACAAAAATTAGCCTGACATGGTGGCACATGCCTGTAATCTCAGCTACTCTGGAGGCTGAGGCAGAAGAATTGCTTGAACCCAGGAGGCGGTGGTTGCAGTGAGCCGAGGTGGTGCCACTGCACTCCAGCCTAGGCAGGTGATAGAGCGAGACTCTGTTTAAAAAAAAAAAAAAGATGCTGGAACAATGGGACTTTCATAGGCAAAAATGTAAACCTCGCCAGGAGGCTCACTGCCTCAGCCTCCTGAGTAGCTGGGATTATAGGCACCCACCACCACGCCCAACTAATTTTTGTACTTTTAGTAGAGATGCGGTTTCACCATGTTGGCCAGGCTGGTCTCAAACTCCTGACTTGGTGATCTGCCTGCTTTGGCCTCCTAAAGTGCTGGGATTACAGACGTGAGCCACTGTGTCCGGCCAGCATCATTTCTTAAAAAGACAACCTTTTTCCATTGAATTGCCTTTGGATCTTTGTAGAAAAATCAGTTGAGCATTTTGGTGTCACTCTATTTCTGGACTCTATTCTATTAATCTATGTGTCTACCCTCTTGCCAAGACTGTAGTTCTTTATTAGCGTATCAGTATAATATGCCTTGAAGTCAGATAGTGTGAGTTCTCCAACATTGTTCTACTTTTCCAAGATTGTTTTAGCTTTCCATTTCCTTTGCCTTTCTGTGTAAATTTTAGAATCAACTTGTTAATATCTACGAAAAAATCCTGCTAGAATTTTTATCTGGATTGTGTGAATCTTTATATCAACCGGGGGAGAGCTGACATCTTAACAAAATTGAGCCTTCCAGTCAGTAAACATGTTATAGCTCTCCATTTATTTAGCTCTTCCTTGATTTCTTTAATCAGTGTTTTGTAGTTTTCAGTGTAAAGATTCTGCACATATTTTGCTAGATTTATCCTTAAAGTATTTCATTATTTTGGAGCTACTGAAAATGATATTTAGTTTTGTTTTCCAATTGCTCATATTAGTCTGCCAATATGATGAATTATGCTTATTTATTATTATTATTATTATTATTATTTTGAGATGAAGCCTTGCTCTGTACCCCAAGCTGGAGTGCAGTGGCATGATCTCAGCTCACTGCAACCTCCACCTCCCGGGTTTAAGCAATTCTCCTACCTCAGCCTCCCAAGTAGCTGGGACTACCAGCACGTACCACCATGCCCAGCTAATTTTTGTATTTTTAGTGGAGATGGGGTTTCACCATGTTGGCCAGACTGGTCTCAAACTCCTGACCTCAGGTTATCCACCCACCTCAGCCTCCCAAAGTGCTGGGATTACAGGCATAAGCCACCGTGCCTGGCTATTTTTGAATGTCACCCCAGCATTAAATTACCTGGGATAAACTCCACTTAATAGTGAAGTATTATGTTAAGAAATGATATATTTCTAGATTCCATTTGCTAATAGTTTATAGTTTGTTGAAGTTTTGGGGTATATGTTCATGTGAAGTATTGTTGTTGCTTTTTTTTTTCTAGTCTAAGGTATTTTGTTATGTTGCTTTTTTTAATGGCTCAGGGTTGTATTAAAAAAAATTCAAGTTTGTGCAGTTGGTCTGTTTACATCTGGGAGCAGAACTGTCCCCACATCAGACACAGCAGCTACACTTCTCCGATGCCCCTGTGCGGGCGCAGCCCTGGGCACACTTGGCAAAGCCCACAGGGCAGCAGGAACAGCAGCTCTTCTTGCAGGAGGTGCATTTGCACTCTTTGCAGCTGGAGAAGATGCAGAAGCTGGCGCACCTGCAAGAGTCACCAGCGGCGCAGGAGCAGTTAGGGTCCATTTTGAGCGGCGATGAGGCTGGAGATCCCAAGCGAGAAGTTGCGACTGTGAGGCACGTGGAAGGCGTGGTGAAGTATTGTTACAGTTTTCTTGTTATCTTTTTCAAATTTTGGCATCAGGACCAGGCTGGCCTCATAAAATGAGTTAAGTTTTTTTGATTTTCTGAAAGAGTTTATGTGGAATTAGTTCTATTTCTTTCTTTAATGTTTGGTAGAATTTTCCAGTGAAATCATCTGGGGGCCAGGCCCAGTGGCTCACGCCTGTAATCCCAGAGGGAAGCTAAGGCAGGTGGATTGCTTGAGCCAAGAGTTTGAGACCAGCCTGGGCAACATGGTGAAACCCCATCTCTACTAAAAATACAAAAAATTAGCTGGGTGTGGAAGTCTTCCTGCAGTGAGCCGTGATTGTACCACTGCCCTCCAGCCTGAATAACAGGAGTGAGTCCCTGCCAGAAAGAAAAGAAAAAAGAAAGAGAGAGAGGAAGGAAGGGAGGGAGGGAGGGAAGAAGGAAGGAGGAGAGAGAGGGAAGAAGGAAGGAAGGGAGGGAAGAAGGAAGGAAGGAAGGAAGGAAAATAGGAAGGAAGGAAGGAAAATAGGAAGGAAAATAGGAAGGAAGGAAAAAAGGGAGGAAAAGAAAAGAAACCACCCGGGCCTGGAGTTTTCTTCTCCACATTGGAAGGTTTTAAACTGTGGATTCAATTTTCTTTAGTACATCTAGGACTATTTCTCTTCTCTATTTCTTATTGACTGAATTTTGGTAATTTGTGTCTTTCAAGAAATTGGTCCATTTTCTTCTAAGTTGTCAAATTTATGAACATAGAGTTGTTTGTAATGTTCTCTTATTATCCTGTAATATCTGGAGGGCCTGAAGTGACATCCCCTCTTTCATTCCTTAGGTTAGTAATTTATATCTTCTCTCTTTTTTTTCCCTTGGTAAGTCTGTCAAAAAGTTTATCAATTCTATACACCTTTTCAAAGCTTTTGGTTTTATTGATTTTTCTCTATTTTTTTCTGTTTTCAATTTCATTGAATTCTGTTTTTCTATATTTTTTTCCTTTGCTTGATTTAGGTTTAATTTGTTCTTTTTCTAGTTTCTTAAGGTAGAAGCTTTGAGTATGATTTGAGGTCTTTCTTTTTTCTGTTACAGGATGTAAAGCTATACATTTTCCTGTACTCACTGCTTTAGCTGCAGTCCATAGGTTTTGATATGTTTTGTTTTCATTTTCCGTCAGTTCAAATATTTTCTGATTTCCTTTAAGATTTTCTCTCTGACCCATGGGTTATTTAGAAGTATATTAACAATTTCCAAATTGGGAGTTTTCTTTTTCTTTTTCTTTTTTCTTTTCCAGACAGAGTCTTGTTCTGTCACCCAGACTGTAGTGCAGTGGTATGATCTCGGCTCACTGCAACCTCCGCCTCCTGGGTTCAAGCGATTCTCCTGCCACAGCCTCCTGAGTAGCTGGGATTACAGGCACCCAACACCACGCCTGACTAACTTTTGTATCTTTAATAGAGATTGGGTTTCACCATGTTGGTCAGGCTGGGGGAGTTTTCTGTTATTGATTTCTTGTTTAATTTTGGTATAACCAGAGAACATGCTTTGTGTGGTTTCAATTTATTAAAAATTGTTAAAGTTGGCTGGGCGCGGTGGCTCAAGCCTGTAATCCCAGCACTTTGGGAGGCTGAGGCGGGTGGATCACGAGGTCAAGAGATTGAGACCATCCTGGTCAACATGGTGAAACCCCGTCTCTACTAAAAATACAAAAAATTAGCTGGGCATGGCGGTGCGTGCCTGTAATCCCAGCTACTCAGGAGGCTGAGGCAGGAGAATTGTGTGAACCCATGAGGCGGAGGTTGCGGTGAGCCGAGATCGCGCCATTGCACTCCAGCCTGGGTAACATGAGTGAAACTCCGTCTCAAAAAAAAAAAAAAATTGTTAAAGTTTATTTTATGATTCAGAATATGATCTATCTGTGGGCATTTGAAAAGAATATGTATTTTGTTGCTCTTGGGTAGAGTGTTTTATAGATGTCATTAGATTAAATCAGTTGATAATGTTATTCAGGTTTTATATGTCCTTGCTGATTTTCCATCTATTTGTTTATCAGTTATTGAGAAAGGAGTTATTGAAGTCTCCCAGTTTCGACTGTGGATTTTTCCATATCTCCTTTTAGTTCTATCAATTTTTGCTTCATTTATTTTGGATCTTTGTTAGTTGCATACTATATTTCGGTGTTTATTTTCTTGGCGAATTGACCTTTTTAATCGTTAGGTAATTTCTCTACATTTATATCTTTATATTCAAAATAGGTTTTCTTAAATTATGGGACATTTGAGAATTAAAAATAAAATAAAATAACTTTCTTGCAGATAGCATATAGTTGGGTCTTTTTTTTTTTCCAATCTGATAATCTTTGTCTTTTTTTTTTTTTTTTTTTTGAGAAGGAATCTTGCTGTGTCACCCAGGCTGGAGTGCAGTGGCATGATCTCGGTGCACCGCAACCTCCACCTCCTGGGTTCAAGTGATTCTCCTGCCTCAGCTTCCCGAGTAGCTGGGATTACAGGCATGTGCCACCTAGCCTGGCTAATTTTTGTATTTTTAGTAGAGACGGGGTTTCACCATGTTGGCCAGGCTGGTCTTGAACTCTTGACCTCAGGTGATCCACCCACCTCAGCTTCTCAAAGTGTTGGGATTACAGGTGTGAGCCCACTTGACCGGCCATCTTTGTCTTTTAATTGGTGTGTTTAAACCATTTACATTTTTAAAGACCATTTACATTTAATGTAGTTATTGATAAGAGTAGATTTTGGTCTATAGTTTAGTATCTTTCTGCTTGTCTCCTCCATTTCTTTGACTCTCAATTTCCCCTTTCCTGTTATATTTTGGATTATTTGAATATTTTTATATTCCAATTTAATATATTGGTTGCTTATATCTTTTGTGGGTTTTTTTTTTTTAGTTGTTGATCTAGGGATAATAATACACATACCTAATTATCACAGTCAACTTAAAATCAATTTTTTTTTTTTGAGATGGTTTCACTCTTGTGGCCCAGGCTGGATGCAGTGATGTAATCTCCACTCACTGCAACCTCTGCCTCCTGGGTTCAAGCGATTCTCCTCCTTCAGCCTCTGGAGTAGCTGGGACTACAGGAGTGCACCACCACCCCTGGCTAGTTTTCGTATTTTTAGTAGAAACAGAATTTTACCATATTGGCCAAGATGTTCTCCATCTCCTAACCTTGTGATACACCTGCCTTAGCCTCCCAAAGTGCTGGGATCACACTTGTGAGCCACCACACCTGGCCTAAAATCAATATTTTAACACTTCAAGTAAAACACCTCACAACTACAGGCATACCTTGGAGATACTGTAGGTTCAGTTCTAGACCACTGCAGTAAAGTGAATATTGCAATAAAGTGGATCATACAAGGTTTTTTGTTTCCCAATGCATATAAAAGTCATGTTTAAGGCCAGGTGTGGTGGCTCACACCTGCAATCATAGCACTTTGGGAAGCCGAGGCAGGCAGATCACTTGAGGTCAGGAGTTCGAGACCAGCTTGGCCAAGATGGTGAAACACCCTCTCTACTAAAAATACAAAAAAATTATCCAGGCATGGTGGCATGTGCCTGTAATCCCAGCTACCAGGCAGCTGAGGCAGGAGAATTGCTGGAACTTAGGAGGCAGATGTTGCAGTGGGCCAAGATTGCTACTGCCTTGGGCAACAGAGTGAGGCTCCATCTCAAAATAAGTAAATAAATAAATAAAAGTTATGTTGATACTATATTGTGGTCTAATAAATGTGCAATAACATTATGTCTAATAACATTAGACATTGCATGACAATGTTATGCAATGACATTATGACTAAAATGTAAATATCTTAGTTAAAAAATACTTTGTTGCTTAAAAATGCTAACAATCATCTGAGCCTTCAGTGAGTCATAATCTTTTTCCTGGTGGAGGGTCTTGCTTCAAGGTTGATGATTACTGACTGAGAAGGGTGGTAGTTGCTGAAGATTGGAGTGGCTGTGGCAATTTCTTAAAATAAAACAACAATAAAGTTTGCATATCAATTGACTCTTCCTTCCACAAAATATTTCTCTGTGCCTGTGACGCTGTTTGATAGCATTTTACCTACAGTAGAACTTCTTTCAAAATTGGAGTCAGTCCTCTCAATTCTGGCTGCTTCTTTATCAACTAGGTTTAAGTAATATTCTAAATCCTTTGTTGTCATTTCAACAATGTTTACAGCATCTTCACCAGGAGTAGATTCTATCTTCAGAAATCACTTTCTTTGCTTATCCATAAGAAGCAACTCCTCCTTATTTAAAGTCTTATCATGGGATTGTAGAATTCAGTCACATCTGTAGGCTTCACTTTTAATTCTAGTTATCTTGTTATTTCCACTACATCAGCAATTCCTTCCTCCACGGAAGACTTGAACCTCTCAAATGAGGGTTGGAATCAACTTCTTCCAAATTTCTGTTAATGTTGATATTTTTAACCCCCTCCCATGAATCACAAATGTTCTTAATGACATTTAAAATGGTGAATTGTTTCCAGAAGGTTTTTTATTTACTTTGCCCAGATTAACCAGAGAAATCACTATCTATGGCAGCTCTAGTCTATGAAATGTATTTCTTAAATAAGACTTGAAAGTTGAAGTTACTCCTTGATCCATGGACTGCAGAATGAATGATGTGTTAGCAGGCATTAAACAACCTTAATCTCCTTGTACATCTCCATCAGGGCTCTTGGGTGGCCAGGCGCATTGTCAATGAGCAGTAATATTTTGAAAGGAATCTCTTTTCCTGAGCAGTAGGACTCAACAGTGGGCTTAAAATATACAGTAAACCATGCTATAAACAGATGTGCTATCATCCAGGCTTTGTTGTTCCATTTATGGAGCATAGGCAGAGGATTCACATCATTCTTAATGGCCCTAGGATTTTCAGAATGGCAAATAGACATTGGCTTCAACTTAAAGTCACCAGCTGCTTTATCCCCTATTAAGAGAGTTGGCCTGCCCTTTGAAGCTTTGAAGCCAGGCAATGACTTCTCTCTAGCTATAAAAGTCCTATA